AATAAATATATAAATAAAAAATGTTGTTTAAAAATATAAAAAATAAATATGCAAGATATTTAACCAAAATTTACCTTTATAAAGATAAGTCAAATTTGATCAATATAATAATAAAACAAGTAAGAAAGCTCTAGTCGAGACTGCCCGACTACGAGATCCCCTGAACTCTTCTAGCAACTGATACTTCAATAATTATTCACACATGCACACACACACACACTCGCGCACACACAGCCATACGCACGCACGCAGTGGTGACTTACTATGGGAAGTTAATTGTTTAATAACTTTTTTTGTGGATGGACTATATTCATGAAACTTTTAGATTATGAATATAACATAGATATGCATGTATTTGCCAAGCCACAAGTCCCTAGTATTTGAAATACGCCTTTTACAAATATGAGGGTGAGGGGGTGAATTAGGCGTGGGGGTGAATTTGGTGGGGGGTAAATTTTGACAAAAATCGAAATTGTATAAAATGTATATAAGTATACATATAAAATTTGGACACTCTAGCTTTAAAGATGAAGGAGATATAATATTGAAACTGATGTTCGACAATGTTTTTAATCGATAATAAAATATCGGGGAAAGTTATCGATATTTAAAGCAAAACTCGATATGCGCGTGGTATACACGGACCTAGGAAAAAAATTCAAGTCTCTAGCTCTTATATATTCTGAGATCGACGTGTTCAAACATACGGACAGACGGACAGACGCACTGACGAACAAACGGACAGAGCTAAATCGACTCAGCTCGTCGCCCTGATATATGTATTTTATCTGCCATTCCCCCTTCTGCCTGTTACATACATTTAACAAAACCATTATACCCTGAGTTCCCATTTTCAATGGGTTCAGGGTATCCTTAAATACTCGTTTCCTCAAAAATTTCGATGAACATATACATTTTTTATCATGGTATATTTAATATTTTATAGTAATTTATAAATCAAAAGTCGCTTTAAGTAACTTTCAAAGTTTGTTTTGGTGAGCTATGCCTTGTCCATTTTCATATATAATTGCCTTTCGAAATTCTTTGGTTGAATCACATGTTACGTTAACTAAGCAATTAAAAGTCCATTATAATGCGAAGTAGAACTATTGCTCTGAGCCCAACAGTTGC